CAGTGCTAGCGATGTTGACACCGCACCGGGTACTCGTTTGAGGCTGAGTCGACGTAGGGGAGGCTCAGGACCGGTTCGGAAAGTCGTCACTGGCGGTGTTGGCCACGAGCGGGAATGGAACTCGGCTGGTCGGTGCGGAGCGCAGCGCTCACCACGACACTGCCGCTCCCCTTCTGTCAACAAACTTGAACTCTGACCCCGCTCTCTGACGTCACCGCTCAGCATGACCTCATTGGCGTCAAACGCCAGGGGATGTGTACCTCGCTAGGGACGTCATGTCACCAAGATATTCACCCGACCACCGCTCTTCTGAGCGTGACGTCACCTCCGCCCGGTGACTGGTGGCTCATTAACATAATACATTTGCGAAAGCCGTCGCGAGTTTATTCTGACTGGTTCTGCACCCACGGGATTTTTGCACAGCGTTGTGTGTACGGTGCAGTTTTTCTGGGAGACTTTACAGTTTTATCCTGGATTTTTCTGTTTGCGCATTGTCACTTCAAGATGTTGTCTTGTTTGTTGCGGTTGCACCCGATTCAAGAGCCGAATGGCTCACAGGGCTCGATACCAAATAAAACAGAAACACTGACATGTGGGCCGCCATCATTAACATAATATATTCACGTACGGAGCCGCTCATTGTGGGAGGGGAGCGTTATCGTACCCCGCAAGTGACGTCATGTCACCTGCTGCCGCGTGACGTCACGACGCAACAGGAAGCTGCCGCTCCGCCCGTGCACTGAAATCCGAGGTGAGAAATTCTCATCGCGATTGTTGTGGTGGTGGTGTTGGTGGCGGTTGTGGTTGTTGTTGTCGTTGTTTACCAAGGTAGAGCCTCGCTCTCTCGTAGGGGTGTCAATTGAGTAGCAGCGAGCATGGAAGCGATGTCCAGGTTGGATCTTACAACGCGGGGCCTAGCCACACAGGGCCTTGCCTCCTACCCTCGCCTGATCGCGTTTGTTTCAATTATCTCGCTTAAGTTTAATTTGTCTTCACACGGCTTGCCACTTTGTAACTTTGTTTTATTTTAAATATTTACAGTTATTTTATTTTTATACCAGGCCAATCCCGCTTGAGCTGCTATACCGCTCTTGTCTTCAGCGCGACCTGCCAACAACAACAAGGTGAGGCTTTGTCAACAGCGTGGCGGTGTTCACTGTCTACAGTGAAGGAAAAAGTATTTGATCCCCTGCTGATTTTGTACGTTTGTCCACCGACAACGAAATGACCAGTCTATAATTTTAATGGTAGGTTTATTTGAACAGTGAGAGACAGAATAACAACAACAAAATCCAGAAAAACGCATGTCAAAAATGTTATAAAATGATTTGCATTTTAATGAGGGAAATAATTATTTGACCCCCTCTAAATCAGAAATATTTCTGGCTCCCAGGTGTCTTTTATACAGGTAACGAACTGATATTAGGAGCACACTCTTAAAGGGAGTGCTCCTAATCTCAGCTTGTTACCTGTATAAAAGGCACCTGTTCACAGAATCAATCAATCAGATTCCAAACTCTCCACCATGGCCAAAACCAAAGAGCTCTCCAAGGATGTCAGGGACAAGATTGTAAACCTGCACAAGGCTGGAATGGGCTACAAGACCATCGCCTAGCAGCTTGGCGATAAGGTGACAACAGTTGGTGCGATTATTTGCAAATGGAAGAAACACAAAAGAACTGTCAATCTCCCTCGGCCTGGGGCTCCATGCAAGATCTCACCTCGTGGAGTTGCAACGATCATGAGAATGGTGAGGAATCAGCCCAGAACTACACGGGAGGGTCTTGTCAATGATTGCAAGGCAGCTGGGACCATGGTCACCAAGAAAACAGTTGGTAACACACTACGCCGTGAAGGACTGAAATCCTGCAGCACCCGCAAGGTCCCCCTGCTCAAGAAAGCACATATACATGCCCGTCTGAAGTTTGCCAATGAACATCTCAATGATTCAGAGGACAACTGGGTGAAAGGGTTGTGCTCAGATGAGACCAAAATTGAGCTCTTTGGCATCAACTCAACTCGCCGTGTTTGAAGGAGGAGGATTGCTGCCTATGACCCCAAGAACACCATTCCCACCGTCAAACATGGAGGTGGAAACATTATGCTTTGGGGGTGTTTTTCTGCTAAGGGGACAGGATAACTTCACCGCATCAAAGGGACGATGGACGGGGCCATGTACCGTCAAATCTTGGGGAGAACCTCCTTCCCTCAGCCAGGACATTGAAAATGGGTCGTGGATGGGTATTCCAGCATGACAATGACCCAAAACACACGGCCAAGGCAACAAAGGAGTGGCTCAAGAAGAAGCACATTAAGGTCCTGGAGTGGCCTAGCCAGTCTCCAGACCTTAATCCCATAGAAAATCCGTGGAGGGAGCTGAAGGTTCGAGTTGCCAAACGTCAGCCTCGAAACCTTAATGACTTGGAGAAGATCTGCAAAGAGAAGTGGGACAAAATCCTTCCTGAGATGTGTGCAAACCTGGTGGCCAACTACAAGAAACGTCTGACCTCTGTGATTGCCAACAAGGGTTTTGCCACCAAGTACTAAGTCATGTTTTGCAGAGGGGTCAAATACTTATTTCCCTAATTAAAATGCAAATCAATTTACAACATTTTTGGCATGCGTTTTTCTGGATTTTTGTTGTTACTCTGTCTCTCACTGTTCAAATAAACCTACCATTAAAATTATAGACTGATCATTTCTTTGTCAGTGGGCAAATGTACAAAATCAGCAGGGGATCAAATAATTTTTTCTCTCACTGTACTTGTGGAGGGGAAACCGGGGATCCGGAGGGAAATTCACGCGACCACGGGGGGAGAGAGAGACACGCAAACTCCAAATCAACATTGCCAGGGCTGTGTTGATTGATCCTCAATGAATTCCGTGATGGAGTGAGGAAGCATTAATAGTGAGCAGGTGAAGGTGGCCAGGCGTGGGTCTGGACACACCACCACCTGTGAACCATGCCAGTGCGTGACAGTGGGGGTGGGGTGGCACGTGTCCCCCCAACGATCCTATCGAAATCCCTCATTTCGCCCGGGACTCGTATTCTTGTCTTGGATGCATTTCATATTCCCTTATTTCACTGAAAAACCCTGATAAATTTGATGCAAGAAAGAAAAAAAGCCGAAACAAATGAATTTAACTAAATCGGATGTTTTTCATTGAAGGAAATTTAACCTTAACCCACTTTTATGTAATGTCGATTTTGGCAACTCGGGAAGGGAATGGCGTGGCGAGCTGAAAATAGTCGCGACCCCCACTGCCACCGTGTGGCATATTATTACGTGCCAGGGACTCTGAGATGATAGGACAACAGTCCGAGTCCATAATTGACAATAAGTAACGGCCGTTACAAGCGACTCACAGAATTGTGCGCAGTTGCGTATACAGTACACGACTTCCCTGAAGGCAAACATCGTCAGCGAGCGCGATGCCAATCACACGCGTGGAATAAAAGCAAGGGACACGTCCTTGCTAACAACACCTTACTAACAACTCCTTACTTATTAACAACTCCTATCATTTTTCTTTGCTGGAGGGGTTGCCCCCCCCCTCCCTGAAAATCCTGGCTCCACCTCTTGAGTTTGTGACAGTGTAAAGTTTGTATTTGCAGTAAAGTCTATCAACTCTATTGAGCACGGAGGTGAAATCAAACCGGTATTTTATTTTTGTTTTCCTATGGAACTTATTGTAAGAATGGAGTCAGGAAGTTTACCACAGCACATACGCAGCTGAAGTCGGAACTGTTCATCCCAGCAGTCAAGGACATCTGAGCCTGGCTTCACACCTCGAAGTTGCGATTGAACATTAATTTATGCATTTCTGCATAACACAAATAGTATTATTTTCAATGCCCTTTGCTATTTCAGCTGAATTTAGCTTTCATAAATATTCCTTTTGAAGCCAGACAGCCGAAATTGTGTGCTCGGAGTTTGGGTTAATATTCACTTTGAAGATACTAGGGCTTCCAGGCATGTTTATGACCCTTTGATATCTCATTGTGTGCCATAAAAGCCCGTGTGAGGAATTTGGGGCACTTTTTCACTATATCATGAATCTATCTTCTATTCTTCTATCTATCTATATAAAAGTCAAAAATTGTGGGTTTGTTTGTGGTCGCTCGCTTGGCTCTCCAACGGTGAGGTTTGTGTAAAAAAAATAGCCAGGCACCACGCCGTATGCCCTCCGGTCAGCAAGCGCTATTTCTTTTTTACACCCGTCAACTTGAAATTAGTTTAATTAATGATTTAGTGCGATTTTTGTGCTCTTTCATTTTATTTAATTATTTGACGCCTGCACGACCGTACCAACTCACACGCCTTTGGTGGGGGGAATGGCCCATGCCAAGTCGCACGCCTTCGGTGGGAGTGAGGGGGACATTTCCTTTCGCTTTAAAAATGCTATAAAAATACACTTAACGCTCACGTAAGTTCTTCACTGTGATGTCCCCCCCACCCCAATGCGTGTAGTTATTACTATTATACAGTTGCTAGATGCTACCACTATAGGCCGTAGATATTACTGCAGAGTGCCCGGGGAGATCGTGGCCGTGGGGGGAGGGGGGGGGGCAGGGATAGCAGCCCAGTCCCAGCCTGCCAAGGTACCACCTTGGCCGGCTGGACAATCTAGACGAGGCCGGAGGCTCTGCACGGGGCTAGACCTCACCACGCCACTCTGTCAGGTGAGTACTTTGTGCTATACAGTCGATAAATACTGATATAGAATCGGCATATACTACTGTCGTGATATCATATACCACCACAGTTGGTATACACTGCTCTAATCATAGCAGGTACCACCACAGTCAGTACGCACTGCTGTTACATTTTTAAGAGTAGATTTAAAATATTTTTAAGACCTGGGCTTACGCCGGGTACTTCCTGCTAGTATATGAATAAGTATAGATGTGCAAGTCGTGTTACTGTGTATATATGCATTCCTCTGTGCATCGATGCTGACGTGTAGATGGTGTGGATATTCTTTTTTCCTGTCTGCAGCTGTCGCTTCCTCTGCAGAATTGGTCTGATGGAGCAAATGCACTCGGCAGGGCGCGGTGCAAAAAGGCAACAATGCGACCAGCGTGCAAACAGCACGGATCATCCTGGAAATTTGACACGACACAAGAGAACTCGCACAGGAGAGAAACCCTTCAAGTGCACTGTGTGTGACAAGGCATTTGCACAGTCATCTGCTCTTGAAACACACCAGAGAACACACACGGGAGAGAAACCCTTCAAGTGCACTGTGTGTGACAAGGCATTTGCACGGTCATATGTTCTTAAAAAACACCAGAGAACACACACGGGAGAGAAACCCTTCAAGTGCACTGTGTGTGGGAAGGCATGTTCACAGTCATCTGATCTTGAAAGACACCAGAGAACACACACGGGAGAGAAACCCTTCAAGTGCAGTGTTTGTGGGAAGGCATTTGCACGGTCATTTGCTCTTAAAACACACCAGAGAACACACACAGGAGAGAAACCCTTCAACTGCAGTGTGTGTGGGAAGGCGTTTACACGGTCATCTGATCTTGAAAAACACCAGAGAACACACACTGGAGAGAAACCCTTCAAATGCACTGCGTGTTGGAAGGCATTTTCACAGTCGTCTGATCTTGAAAAACACCAGAGAACACACACGGGAGAGAAACCCTTCAAGTGCACTGTGTGTGACAAGGCATTTGCACATTCATCTGCTCTTAAAAAACACCAGAGAACACACACGGGAGAGAAACCCTTCAAGTGCACTGTGTGTGACAAGGCATTTGCACGGTCATTTGCTCTTAAAACACACCAGAGAACACACACAGGAGAGAAACCCTTCAAGTGCAGGGTGTGTGTGAAGGCATTTACAAAGTTATCTTATCTTGTAACACACCGGAGAACACACACGGGAGAGAAACCCTTCAGGTGCAGTGTGTGTGGGAAGGCGTTTGCACAGTCAACACATCTTCAAGTACACCAGAGAACACACACGGGAGAGAAACCCTTCAAGTGCACTGTGTGTGACAAGGCATTTTCACAGTCATCTGCTTTTGAAAATCACCAGAGAACACACACGGGAGAGAAACCCTTCAAGTGCAGGGTGTGTGGGAAGGCGTTTTCAAATTTATCTCATCTTGTAGCACATCGGAGAACACACACGGGCGAGAAACCCTTCAGGTGCACTGTGTGTGACAAGGCATTTTCACAGTCATCTACTCTTGAAACACACCAGAGAACACACACGGGGGAGAAACCCTTCAATTGCACTGTGTGTGACAAGGCATTTTCACAGTCATCTGCTATTAAAAAACACCAGAGAACTCACACGGGAGAGAAACCCTTCAAGTGCAGTGTGTGTGGGAAGGCATTTGCATGGTTATTTTCTCTTAAAACACACCAGAGAACACACACAGGAGAGAAACCCTTCAAGTGCAGTGTGTGTGGGAATGCATTTGCATATTCATCACATTTTCATGTCCACCAGCGAACACACAAGCATCAGAAGATCGACAAGGAGTGGAGTCAGAAATCAGCTTGTGAAAGTCAAAGTGCCGCAATGAGCCCATCCCTCATTAAACAAGAACCGGAAGAAAATCCCAGCTTGGACACTTTTAAAGGTATCGAGGTGAAATATGAAGAGGTGACGGTGAAATGTGAACAAGTGATTGTGAAGAGCGAAGAAGTGAAGCTAAAATGTGAAGATGAAGATTCAACTCCAAAATGGGACCTTCACATCGATGGAGGCAACGTGAAGCAGGAGGAGAATTCTGACTGTGAGGCAGAGCGAGGCAACTCCCAGCAGTTTGTGGAAGTGGAGGTGTGGGTGGACTTCCTCCGAGACAAGACAAAGTCAAAAGGAGACCCGGTAGATGTGTAAGCTAGAGACGATGTCGCTCCAATAGATGCACCTTTGTCACAGGCCTTTAATGACAAGAATGTGAAGTTGAACACTCAATTCCTAGGTTCAACCTGCAGGGTAAGAGCGGCCAGTCTTTGTGGACCTGTGGGTTGCGTAGATCTCTCACCAGGAGCGAGAGCCGAAAAGCTCCCAAGCATTCACTGTTATCAATTGCATTTTTATGGTGCTTGCTTAATCACCTCGGCAATCCAGAGTTTTGTATCGTATCTCGTTTCAAACTCCCAAGAGAAATCCCAAAGTAGCAGCTGCGCCTGTGTGGCACAAGGTGGTGGCCCTGCATCGGCCTGCATGTGGACAAGAGCCTGTCAGTAGGGGGCGATGGTTGATGTGCCATGTCAGTTGTGGAGTTTGTAGGTAATGTTTAGAATTTGCTATATTTTGACCGAGACGCCAGCATGCAATGGTCTACTCGTTTTGAATGGCGCAATAGTATGTTGTACATACAGACGGTGCGTATTTTTTTAAAATAGCTTCATTATACGATGTAATTAAATGTTAAAATGACTCAATAATTTAGAATGAATACTTGTCTGATTGTGTGCGTACATGTAACATTTTGTCAAACATTGAATAAGTAATGTTAGGACAAAGTGTGTTTTTGGAAGTAACCTGTATAGATAACTCGGGTGAGACCCGTTTTTGTGATATAGGTCAAAGGGTACTTTTGTGTTTTCAGGAAGCGTCTGCCTCTGGAGCAACTCATTGTCTTTGAAATAGGGAGCACACTCGGATCATTCATCAGTTACAAGGCATACCACTGAAAAGTTACACGTATAGGAGGTTCATTCTCTACAACACGAATTATAATTTCGTATTATGTGTTGACGTAGGTTTTGTTGAACTAGGACAGGAAATGGTCCTTGCCGATTAACGTCTGGATGTTCACAACCATGGGTGGAAGCAAGCCAGACCGCCTGCGGCGTCCCTCACAACCATTTAGGGCCTTCGGCCAGGAAAGTCACAGAAGTGATTGCACACAAAACGACGCATTCACGTAAGCTCCTGATGCTCCATTGTTAAGTTTTCAAATGAAACATCTTTGAATTGTATTATGCTTTGAATTAGATAATTGTATTTCTTTATTAAAATCATGTAATTTTACATATGTCAGACTTAATTGAAAACGATATTTCGTGTGAATTTTCTCTCGTCGTGAAGTAGATGGCCTTGCCGGGGATTCGATTTGATGCGGACTTTCACCTGGTTGGGATCGCGGGATCGAGATAAGGCAACACAGCTGAGCTGGCCGTGCGAGAAGACTGCCGTCTGCAGATCGATTCCAACGTGATCGAACGTCTGTCCCTGCGCCTCCGTCGTTCATGCAGGGGGTGCGTAGGTTTGCAGCCTTCCCTGCATGTAAATGACGGAAAGTGCAGCGTTCATCACAGATAAAGTTGTGCGCTTATAAAAGCGTATAGCCAGTGGGTTTTCACAGTACCTTCGTCTTGCAGAAATCAAATTCGCGTGAGCCCCACCACATTAAAACAATGCTCAGCTGACCGGGGGGGGGGGGGAGAGGGGGGGGCACCTTATCTATGTCACGTGCTGTGGCTCACGTGACTTCTGCCACGACAATGTCGGGATGTTTTCGCCTGTGAGGACGACCGCTCGTGTCGTGATCGGAACGTCACGATTATTTTTACTTGTCCACTGAACTTGTTCATATCTGTGTACATCGATATCCCACATTGCTTACACGTACACGCCACACACAATGAAATAAATAGAAACTAGAACGACTTCCGGGGATGGGCAAAGATCGAGGAATCTCTTTCAATGGAGCGAGTGAAGTGAGTTCGATTCAACATGTCTCTGTCCGTCTGTGTCTCTGGTCGCATGTGTGTCTCTCTGCCTGTGTCTATGTCGTCTCTGTCTCTCTCTGTTCATCTTGTATGTCTGTCCACCTGTCTTGTCTGTGTGTGTGTCTATCAGCGTCTGTCCCACCGGAGTCAACGACTGTCAGTAGCAGCAGGCGCCCGTTCAACTCCCACGACTGCACGCCACTCAAACTTGCTCCCAACACAAAGACAAAGATCCCCCGTGTAGCCTGCACATGTTGGGGCAAGTGCTGTTAGCAAGCACCTATTAAGGGTGAGACGGCACACGAGGGGGTGGGTGGCCAGCACCACGCCCGGCCGCCTTTGTCTCCCCAGTGGCGATGTTTACACACCGCACCGGGTACTCGTTTGAGGCGGAGTCGACGTAGGGGAGGCTCAGGACCGGTTCAGAAAGTCGTCACTGGCGGTGTTGGCCATGAGTGGGAATGGAACTCGGCTGGTCGGTGCGGAGCGCAGCGCTCACCACGACACTGCCGCTCCCCTTCTGTCAACAAACTTGAACTCTGACCCCGCTCTCTGACGTCACCGCTCAGCATGACCTCATCGGCGTCAAACGCCAGGGGATGTGTACCTCGCTAGTGACGTCATGTCACCAATATATTCACCCGACCACCGCTCTTCTGAGCGTGACGTCACCTCCGCCCGGTGACTGGTGGCTCATTAACATAATACATTTGTGAAAGCCGTCGCGAGTTATTCTGACTGGTTCTGCACCCACGGGATTTTTGCACAGCGTTGTGTGTACGGTGCGGTTTTTCTGGGAGACTTTACAGTTTTATCCTGGATTTTTCTGTTTGCGCATTGTCACTTCAAGATGTTGTCTTGTTTGTTGCGGTTGCACCCGATTCAAGAGCCGAATGGCTCACAGGGCTCTATACCAGTGGCGGCTCGTCAATAGAGGGCGCAGGGGCGCCGCCCCCATCAATATTCAAGAAATATACATATACAAAATTTATATAAAAATACATAAATAAAATATTTTTTTCATACGATGTGCCGGCTGGTAGTAAGAAAAGCATCAGCATTTAATAAAAACTGGCTTTAATCGGTCAACTATTTTCTATGTTTTTCAATATGTTTCATGCGGGGCGCCGGACAAATGGATGTCTATGTGAGACTTTAAATTTTCGGACAGCATGTGACCTGAAGCTGGTCTCTAATTGGTTTCTTAAAGATTCTCCTCGGGGCGCAAGTCGTTGCGTCCCTGGCCAATCAGAATTGAATACATGTTATTTTATCCAATCTGATTGGTTCTTGTCACCTGTCATTCAAATTTACGCTCTGGGCCACTACTGCGAGTGCGCAGGCGACACCACTTTGACACTTGCTAGGCTGATCAAATTTTTTGTGTAAACAATGGCAGCAGTTCATCCAAATTCTGTAATTTATTTACAAAAAAACCCTTTCACAAGGCTTTCGCTGGAAGAAATAAAAAAGATAAAGGATCTCGGACCGGACCAACCCGATTTACAAATCCAGCAGCAGGCCAGTGACAGAGGACGAAAGCTACACACGAAGCTTCACCCGCGCTTGTTATGAGAAACGGAGGTGGCTGGCTGGATGTGATGTTAGCAATTCTCTTTTTTGTTTTCCCTGTCTTTTATTTCAAAGTGTCGGCACTGAAGTTTTGTGGACAACGACGGGGGTAAGAGACCTCAAACATCTCTCTGACAAATGCAAACGTCATGAAAGTAGCCGCAGCCATATTGATAATAGCATGAAACTAACGTTTTTATGTTCAAGTAGGAAACATGTTTTTTGGTACTTTGGTCTGAAATGTATATAAAAGAGAAACATTTATGTTCAAGTAGGAAACATGCTTTTTGGTACTTCTTTTGGTCTGAAATGTAAATAAAGATCATCAAATTTTATATTCAAGTAGTCAAAATGGTTTTTGGTACTGCTTTATATTTATTTGCCCCCCTCAATAAAATAAAAAAAATGCGCCCCCCCAAAAATAAATATCACCAGCCGCCACTGCTCTATACCAAATAAAACAGAAACACTGACATGTGGGCCGCCATCATTAACATAATATATTCACGTACGGAGCCGCTCATTGTGGGAGGGGAGCGTTATCGTACCCCGCAAGTGACGTCATGTCACCTGCTGCCGCGTGACGTCACGACGCAACAGGAAGCTGCCGCTCCGCCCGTGCACTGAAATCCGAGGTGAGAAATTCTCATCGTGGTTGTTGTGGTGGTGGTGTTGGTGGCGGTTGTGGTGGTTGTTGTTGTCGTTGTTTACCAAGGTAGAGCCTCGCTCTCTCGTAGGGGTGTCAATTGAGTAGCGGCGAGCATGGAAGCGATGTCCAGGTTGGATCTTACAACGCGGGGCCTAGCCACACAGGGCCTTGCCTCCTGCCCTCGCCTGATCGCGTTTGTTTCAATTCTCTCGCTTAAGTTTAATTTGTCTTCACACGGCTTGCCACTTTGTAACTTTGTTTTATTTTAAATATTCACAGTTATTTTATTTTTATACCAGGCCAATCCCGCTTGAGCTGCTATACCGCTCTTGTCTTCAGCGCGACCTGCCAACAACAACAACAAGGTGAGGCTTTGTCAACAGCCTGGCGGTGTTCACTGTCTACAGTGAAGGAAAAAGTATTTGATTCCCTGCTGATTTTGTACGTTTGTCCACCGACAACGAAATGACCAGTCTATAATTTTAATGGTAGGTTTATTTGAACAGTGAGAGACAGAATAACAACAACAAAATCCAGAAAAACGCATGTCAAAAATGTTATAAAATGATTTGCATTTTAATGAGGGAAATAATTATTTGACCCCCTCTAAATCAGAAATATTTCTGGCTCCCAGGTGTATTTTATACAGGTAACGAACTGATATTAGGAGCACACTCTTAAAGGGAGTGCTCCTAATCTCAGCTTGTTACCTGTATAAAAGACACCTGTTCACAGAAGCAATCAATCAGATTCCAAACTCTCCACCATGGCCAAGACCAAAGAGCTCTCCAAGGATGTCAGGGACAAGATTGTAAACCTGCACAAGGCTGGAATGGGCTACAAGACCATCGCCTAGCAGCTTGGCGATAAGGTGACAACAGTTAGTGCGATTATTTGCAAATGGAAGAAACACAAAAGAACTCAATCTCCCTCGGCCTGGGGCTCCATGCAAGATCTCACCTCGTGGAGTTGCAACGATCATTAGAACGGTGAGGAATCAGCCCAGAACTACACGGGAGGATCTTGCCAATGATTTCAAGGCAGCTGGGACCATGGTCACCAAGAAAACAGTTGGTAACACACTACGCCGTGAAGGACTGAAATCCTGCAGCACCCGCAAGGTCCCCCTGCTCAAGAAAGCACATATACATGTCCGTCTGAAGTTTGCCAATGAACATCTCAATGATTCCGAGGACAACTGGGTGAAAGGGTTGTGGTCAGATGAGACCAAAATTGAGCTCTTTGGCATCAACTCAACTCGCCGTGTTTGAAGGAGGAGGAATGCTGCCTATGACCCCAAGAACACCATTCCCACCGTCAAACATGGAGGTGGAAACATTATGCTTTGGGGGTGTTTTTCTGCTAAGGGGACAGGACAACTTCACCGCATCAAAGGGACGATGGACGGGGCCATGTACCGTCAAATCTTGGGTGATAACCTCAGCCAGGGCATTGAAAATGGGTCGTGGATGGGTATTCCAGCATGACAATGACCCAAAACACACGGCCAAGGCAACAAAGGAGTGGCTTAAGAAGAAGCACATTAAGGTCCTGGAGTGGCCTAGCCAGTCTCCAGACCTTAATCCCATAGAAAATCCGTGGAGGGAGCTGAAGGTTCGAGTTGCCAAACGTCAGCCTCGAAACCTTAATGACTTGGAGAAGATCTGCAAAGAGAAGTGGGACAAAATCCTTCCTGAGATGTGTGCAAACCTGGTGGCCAACTACAAGAAACGTCTGACCTCTGTGATTGCCAACAAGGGTTTTGCCACCAAGTACTAAGTCATGTTTTGCAGAGGGGTCAAATACTTATTTCCCTAATTAAAATGCAAATCAATTTACAACATTTTTGACATGCGTTTTTCTGGATTTTTGTTGTTACTCTGTCTCTCACTGTTCAAATAAACCTACCATTAAAATTATAGACTGATCATTTCTTTGTCAGTGGGCAAACGTACAAAATCAGCAGGGGATCAAATACTTTTAAAATTCTTTATATTAAGTTCGCTTGCTTGCTTGCTTAGGACCGTGCAAATCTTTCGGTCGTTTTTTAACTCACTTCCCGTGATGCAATCGAGCTGACATTTTGCACACAGACTCGTTGTGCGTGACAATGAATTTTCGTGAAATTTTTTCCCCAAAATTTTACACTGTTTAGGGAAATCTTTTTAAATATTTATTTACCAAATGGTTAATGCTGGCACAATCATCTGACCCATAGGTGGCAGCCATCTCAAGCCAGAGGACGAGAGGACTCTAGCCGCCCCGATGCCACGCATATAAAGGATTTATAGTGAAAAACTTTGTTTTTACGGTTAATTTTTTTCTCTCACTGTACTTGTGGAGGGGAAACCGGGGATCCGGAGGGAAATTCACGCGACCACGGGGGAGAGAGAGACATGCAAACTCCAAATCAACATTGCCAGGGCTGTGTTGATTGATCCTCAATGAATTACGTAATGGAGTGAGGAAGCATTAATAGTGAGCACATGAAGGTGGCCAGGCGTGGGTCTGGACACACCACCACCTGTGAACCATGCCAGTGCGTGACAGTGGGGGTGGGGTGGCACGTGTCCCCCCAACGATCCTATCGAAATCCCTCATTTCGCCTGGGACTCGTATTCTTGTCTTGGATGCATTTCATATTCCCTTATTTCACTGAAAAACCCTGATAAATTTGATGCAAGAAAGAAAAAAAGCCGAAACAAATGAATTTAACTAAATCAGATGTTTTTCATTGAAGGAAATTTAACCTTAACCCACTTTTATGTAATGTCGATTTTGGCAACTCGGGAAGGGAATGGCGTGGCGAGCTGAAAATAGTCGCGACCCCCACTGCCACCGTGTGGCATATTATTACGTGCCAGGGACTCTGAGATGATAGGACAACAGTCCGAGTCCATAATTGACAATAAGTAACGGCAGTTACAAGCAACTCACAGAATTGTGCGCAGTTGCGTATACAGTACACGACTTCCCTGAAGTCAAACACCGTCAGCGAGCGCGATGCCAATCACACGCATGGAATAAAAGCAAGGGACAAGTCCTTGCTAACAACACCTTACTAACAACTCCTTACTTATTAACAACTCCTATCATTTTTCTTTGCTGGAGGGGTTGCCCCCCCCCCTACCTGAAAATCCTGGCTCCACCTCTTGAGTTTGTGACAGTGTAAAGTTTGTATTTGCAGTAAAGTCTATCAACTCTATTGAGCACGGAGGTGAAATGTAACCAGTAGTTTATTTTTGCTTTCCTCTGGAACTCTTTGTAAGAATGGAGTCAGGAAGTTTACCACAGCACACACGCAGCTGAATTCTGAACTGTTCTTCCCAGCAGTCAAGGACATCTGAGCCTGGCTTCACACCTCGAAGTTGCGATTGAACATTAATTTATACATTTCTGCATAACACAAATATTATTTTCAATGCCCTTTGCTATTTCAGCTGAATTTAGCTTTCATAAATATTCCTTTTGAAGCCAGACAGCCGAAATTGTGTGCTCGGAGTTTTGGGTTAACATTCATTTTGAAGATACTAGGGCTTCCAGGCATGTTGATGACCATTTGCCCTCTCATTGTGTGCAATCACAGCCCGTGTGATGAATTTAGGAAACTTTTTCATTACATCATAAATATGTTAACAAGTATAGACATGTAAGTTACGTGTGACTATATATGCATTCCTCTGTGCCTCGATACTGACGTGTCGATGGTGTGGATATCATTTGTTTCTGTCTGCAGCTGTTGCTTCCTCTGCAGAATTGATCTGATGGAGCAAATGCACTTGGCGCAGCTCGGTGAAAAAGGGCAACATTGGGACCAGCGTGCAAACAGCACGGATCATCCTGGGAACTTGACACAGCACCAGAAAACTCACACAGGAGAGAAACCTTTCAAGTGCACTGTGTGTGACAAGGCATTTGCATGGCCATCCGCTCTTCAGGCCCACCAGAGAAAACACACAGGAGAGAAACCTTTCAAGTGCACTGTGTGTGACAAGGCATTTGCATTGCCATCCGCTCTTCAGGCCCACCAGAGAACACACACAGGAGAGAAACCTTTCAAGTGCACTGTGTGTGACAAGGCATTTGCATGGCCATCAGTCCTTCAGGCCCACCAGAGAACACACATGGGAGAGAAACCCTTCGAGTGCAGTGTGTGTGGGAAGGCATTTTCAAAGTCAACTGTTCTTAAAAAACACCAGAGAACACACACGGGAGAGAAACCCTTCAAATGCACTCTGTGCGATAAGGCGTTTTCAGATTCATACAATCTTTTAATACACCAGAGAACTCACACAGGAGAGAAACCCTTCGAGTGCAGTGTGTGTGGGAAGCCATTTGCACATTCATCTACTCTTGTAATACACCAGAGAACACACACGGGAGAGAAACCCTTCAAGTGCAGTGTGTGTGTGAAGGCGTTTGCACATTCATCTCATCTTGTAGCCCACCAGAGAACACACACGGGAGAGAAACCCTTCATGTGCAGTGTATGTGGGAAGGCGTTTGCACATTCATCTTCTCTTATAGCACACCAGAGAACGCACACGGGAGAGAAACCCTTCATGTGCAGTGTGTGTGGGAAGGCGTTTGCACATGCATCTCCTTTTGCAGCACACCAGAGAACACACACAGGAGAGAAACCCTTCAAGTGCAGTGTGTGTGGGAAGGCGTTTGCACATTCATCTCCTCTTGTAGCACACCAGAGAACACACACGGGAGAGAAACCCTTCAAATGCACTCCGTGCGGGAAGGCGTTTACACTTTCATCAAATTTTCATGTCCACCAGAAAACACACAAGCATCAGAAGATCCACAAGGAGTGGAGTCTGAAAACAGCTTGTGAAACTCAAAATGCCGCAATGAGCCCATCCCTCATCAAACAAGAACCGGAAGAATATCCCAGCTTGGACACTTGTAATGGTATCGAGGTGGAATATGAAGAGGTGACGGTTAAATGTGAAGAAGTGATGGTGAAGAGCGAAGAAGTGATGGTAAAATGTGAAGATGAGGATTCAACTCCAAAATGGGACCTTCACATCAATGGAGGCAACGTGAAGCAGGAGGAGAATTCTGACTGTGAGGCAGAGCAAGGCAACTCCCAGCAGTTTGTGGAAGTGGAGGTGTGGGTGGACTTCCTCCGAGACAAGACAAAGTCAAATGGAGACCCGGTAGATGCGTAAGCTTGAGACGATGTCGCCCCAATAGATGCACCTTTGTCACAGGCCTTTAATGACAAGAACGTGAAGTTGAACACTCAATTCATAGGTTCAACCTGCAGAGTAAGAGCAGCCAGTCTTTGTGGACCTGTGGGTTGGTTAGGTCTCTAACCAGAAGCGAGAGCCAAAAAGCTCCCAAGCATTCACTATGTTATCATAATTGCATTTATATGGTGCCTGCTTAATCGCCTTGGCAATTCGGAGTTTTGTATCTCATCTCGAACACTCGAAGAGAATCCCCAAGTAGCAGCTGCCCCTGTGTGGCACAAGGTGGTGGCCCTGCATCGGCCTGCATGTGGACGAGAGCCTGTCAGTAGGGGGCGATGGTTGATGTGTCATGTCAGTTGTGGAGTTTGTAGGTATTGTTTAGAATTTGCTACATTTTGACCCAGACGCCAGCATGCAATGGCCTACTCGTTTTGAATGACGCAATAATATGTTGTACATACACTGTTAAGCAGATGGTGCGTATGGTTTTTTAAAAAGCTTCGTAAATTAGGAGTGGATTCCTGCAGTAACGAAAGCTTCAAATCAAGATTGAACTGCCTCTACGGGGAGCGTTTCCACACATCTGTTAGAGCTTTTAACAGACTGAGACCAGAAGGCTCACATGATCGAGTCTCTCACCTTTCTAAAGAGATGCCGCGACAACAAGGTAATACCGATCGTTTTTACTCACTCTTGACATTAACAGATGAAGCGTCCACATCTGATTGGAACCTTGTAGACAACACGATTGTCTGATGATGGATGCTTGTGTCGTGTTCGAAACTGGATTTATTTGATTTATATCTACGTGACTTCACCGAAAGAACCAAAAAGTAAAGCTTCTTGTTAATACGATGTAACCTGATGCAGTATATTTCGGTGCAGTAATTCAATTTTGTTCATATGCCTGTCAATTTAGAATTAATACTTTTTTGTTTATAAGGGTCAAATATTTAATAAGTGATGTTAGGACAAAGTGTGTGTTTTGGAAGTAACCTGTACAGATAACTCGGGTGAGACCTGTTGTATTTTTGTGTTTCCAGGAAGTGTCTGCCTCTGGAGCAACTCATTGTCTTTGAAATGGGGAGCACACTCGGATCATTCATCAGTTACAAGGCATACCACTCAAAAGTTACGTGTAGGAGGTACATTCTCTACAACACGAATGATAATTTGTTGACGTAGATTTTGTCGAACGAGGACTAGAAATGCTCCTTGCCGATTAACGTCTGGATGTTCACAACCATGGGTTGAAGCAAGCCGGACCGCCTTTGGCGCCTCCGAACAACCATTTACCGCCTTGGGCCAGGAAAGTCACGAAAAAAATTGCACACAAACGACGCATTCACGCAAGCACCCGATGCTCCGTTTTGAAGTTTGAATAGTATTATGTTTCGAATTAGATAATTTTATTTCTTAATTAAAAGCTTATATCATTTTACATCTGAAAAACTTCATAAAAAAAAAAATTTGTGTGAATTTTCTCTCGTCATTAAGTAGATGGCCTTGCTGGGGGTTCGGTTCCATGCGGACTTTCACCCGTTTGGGATTGCGGGATCGAGATAAGGCAACACAGCTGGCCGTGCGAGAAGACCGCCGTCTGCGATCGATTCCAACGTAATCGAACGTCTGTCCCTGTGCCTCCGTCGTTTGTGCAGCGCCCCCTGCATGAAAACGACGGCAAGTGCAGCAGATATATGAAATTGTGCACTTATACAGGTAGGAACAACAGTTCCACACTGCCCACCAGGGATTATTTGTCTGTCGTGCATAGCCACGCCCTCGATTTGTATTTCATAGAGCGCTTCGGGAGGGCTCAGCACCATGTGACGCGCCGCCCCACGCAGCTTGCGCCGTGTGACACGGATCGCACGAATGCGCCGTCCAACCAAGTTTCTACTTGCCCACTCTGAAGGAACGTGTTGTAAGAGTATAGCGAGTGGGTTTTCACAGTACCTTCGTCTTACAGAAATCAATTTCACGTGAGCCCACCGCATTAAAACAATGCTTGGCTGAGCGGGGCGAGCCACGGGGGGGGGGAGGGGGGGGCGGGGAGGGTGGCACTTCCTTGGAGAGTGAGGACGCGCAGGGCGATGGTGGCACGGGCTGGCACGGGCACGTCCAGCACCCTAGCGCCCATTTACAATGTGGATGCCACCGCCACCCCCTGGCAAACGGTGGGGGGGGGGGGGCACCTTATCTATGTCACGTGCCATAGCTCACGTGACTGTTTCTTCTGCCGCGACAATGTCTGGATTTTTTCGCCTGAGGACGAACGCTTGTGTTGCGATCGAAACGTGATTTATTTATTTATTTGTACCTACGTGACTTTACCGAAAGAACTAATGAGTATGAAAGATGTCTTGGCTACTGATCTGTTTCATATCTGTGTACATCGATATCCCACATTGCTTACCAGTACACACCACAATGAAATGAATAGAAATAAGGACTTTTGGGGATGGGCAAAGATCGAGGAATTTCTTTAAATGGAGCGAGTTAAGTGTGTTCGATTCAACATCTGTGTCTCTGTTCGCCTGCGTGTGTCTCTCTCTGTCTGTCGTCTCTGTATCTGTCTCTGTGTTCCTCTCATCTGTGTCTGTCCGCCTGTCTTTTCTGTGTGTCTATCAGCGTCTGTCCCACCGCAGTCAACGACTGTCAGTAGCAGCAGGCGCCCGTTCAACTCCCACGACTACACGCCACTCAAACTTGCTCCGAACACACAAAGACAAAGATCCCCCATATGGCCTGGAAAGAATGTTGGGGCAAGTGCTGTTAGTGAGCGCCTAACACAAATATAAAGATCCCCCGTATAGCCTTAACAGACTGGGGGCAAGTACTGTTAGCACCTATTAAGGGTGGGACAGCACCACGCCCGGCCGCCTTTGTGTCCCTAGTGTTGTGTATATGTAGTGCTCGACACGACAGCTTCTTGTCTTTCCTCTTCACTTAATTTCGCATATTTCGATCAACGTTCCTCCAGCTAACACCGATCCACGGTTCTCCTCCGCGCTCTCCGCTCGCTCGCCGCGTTCCGCGGGCCTCACTCGCTCCCCATCACTTCTCCGTCGACTCTCCTCTCCACTCTCTCTGCCACAGTTCGGCTGCTCCTTTATCAGCTCCGCCGTCCCACTCTGTCGTAACTACATCAGCTTCTCTTCCCACACTCCAGCCGCTTCCTACTGGCTTCCTCGTCTCACTGCTACCCTACACTGCTCCACTGCTACCCTACACTGCTCCACTGCTATGCTATTCTACACTGCTCCACTGTTACCCTACACTTCACTGCTACCCTACACTTCTCCACTGCTACCCTACACCTCTCCACTGCTATCCTACACTTCTCCACTGCTATCCTACACTTCTCCACTGCTACCCTACACTTCTCCACTGCTACTCTACACTGCTACTCTACACTTCTCCACCGCTACCCTACACTGCTACCCTACACTGCTCCACTGCTACCCTACACTTCTCCACTGCTACCCTACACTTCTCCACTGCTACCCTACACTGCTACTCTACACTTCTCCACTGCTACTCTACACTGCTACTCTACACTTCTCCACCGCTACCCTACACTGCTACCCTACACTTCTCCACTGCTACCCTACACTTCTCCACTGCTACCCTACACTGCTCCACTGCTACTCTACACTTCTCCACTGCTACCCTACACTTCTCCACTGCTACTCTACACTGCTCCACTGCTACCCTACACTGCTCCACTGCTACCCTACACTTCTCCACTGCTACCCTACACTGCTATTAGCTCTGCTGCTCCGACTCTTCCATCCTCTGTCTCCTCCCAGGCTCGAACTCCTGTCTCCTCCAAAACCCCCTCTTTTTATCCCCGAGCCAATTAATCCCCAATGAATCTGGGGCACCCCCCGCGACGCCACTTGCCTCCAGCCCACGCTGGCACCTGGCATGTTTTTCCCGACAATGCGGCGCCACTCCGCGACAACAACACCCTCTCGGCCAATCGGCGCCCTGCGTCCTTAATTACTCCCTGCCACCTGCTACCATCCTCAGACAGCGCCGCCCCACATCTCGACAACAACAACGACGCCCAGCCAATTGGCGCCCCGTGTCCTTATTTGCTCCCACTGTACGCTGCGTGCGCGCACACCGACCTCTGCGCGTGACGCGTACTTTCAGGCACTACATATATAGGCCTTTTCCCTAAATTGATTTTAATAATTCGGCCATTATATTTTTTTTATAATAGTCAATCGGGGTGTAGCATGGGGCACGAAAAAGGCTGAGGCACACCCTCACCTCCCACCTCGCCTCTCACAAGCCACACAAGAAGGCAGCTCGAGATAAGCTGTAAAATGTAAAAAAATAAACCCCGTTGCAAGGTGAGGGGGCTGCTAATGAGATTTTGGGGAATTCTCTACTGGGCTTCAAAGACCGCCATACAACACGGACGCAGGGCAGGGACAATCGGACATTACAAGTGGCGTTTTTTTACGGTAAAAGTTCGAAACTTAGCGACAAGAACAAATCGACATTATAGACTGCAGTCTAGATTAGTGGCTTTTATTATTACTTATTTTATTTTATCCTTATTCACCTTATTGTTTCTATCTACGTGACTTTACCGAAAGAACCAAAGTACATGAGTTCCGCAAATCACGAAAGCTTAAGTCAAAACGTAGCTATGTCTCCAACCTCGGGATATCAAAATATAAATCTAGAATAAGAAGCACGGATTTCTGGCGACACAGAGAACAAAATTTGATAAACCCTCGGAATACCTGTGGTAACAACTAGGTAGATCACATATCTTGGTTAAACATAAACCAAATAATAATTATGAAGTATTAGACCGAGGGTCATCCAGATGAAATACAATGCAAAACAGGTCAATCACACACGACCAAAATAATATGCATTCCATACAATCAGAGCCGCCCAACCACCTTTGTCTTCCAGAAGCACGTGGTAGCAATAAATTACACATGCAGGGAGGGCGCCTCCCCTTGAGATGTCAAGCACCATGAAGTAATTCCAAACCACGACAGAAGTACTGTAAACACTGTTCAAAACATACCTTGAGTCACAGAATCAACACCGCAAAAAGGGATAAATATTAAGATAAGGGGTAGAAAATAATGTTTCTCTTTCTCTCAACTCTTGTATATATTTGGTCTTGAAAAATTAATGAAAATAGAAAAAATGAAAAAAAAATGTAATTTTCAAAAATGATGCTAATTTGTGTAGACTTGACCTTTGGAGGAGTGTGCTCGACTTCCGAGTCCGCACGCTCGTGGGTAGTCGTGAGCTGCTGCTGCTGGTCCTGTGCGATGCTCGCTTGGTCGATGCTTGACGCTTTTCCACCTTTTCTCCAGGTTGATTGCTTGTCGTTGCTCGTCACTCTTTCTCTTTCTCTCTTGCTGCAGCTGCTGGTGGGAGCTGGCACTCAATGTAGAATACAACTTTTAGCGATGCTTCGTCTGTCAGTGCCGAACTCGTACTCGGTGACACATCGCTACTCTGCAAGCCTCGCCATCCTTGGTCGATTGTGGGGCCCACTCCCGGAGCTTGCCGCAGCAAGACCCTGTTGCATGATCTGTGTCCTTGCTTATATGTGAAATTCTCCCCTCTCTGCGCGTCGCTTGTGAGAGAAAAAAACCGATGCCCTCTGTTTTGTTCTCTTCCCGTGGCCGCAGCCGCCTGGTTGCCCCCAGTTCCACCCCTCTCTGCCTTCGTGGTGTTTGCTATCTCAAGGGGAGGCACCCTCCCTTCATACGTATTTATTGCTACCATGTGTTGTGTCAAATTGTTGGGAGACAAAGGCGGTTAGGAGTCTCTGGTCCTATGGAATACATATTATCTCGATCGTGTGTGTTTGACCTATTTTGCCTTGTATCTATTTGGACTTACCCTAGGTCTAATACTTCATGATTATTGGTTTATGTTTACCAAGATTCGTGATGTATCATAGTTGTTAACACAGGTATTCTGAGGGTTTTATTAAGCTTTGTTCTCCGTCTGTGTCACTAGGAGTAATATAAGTAATAATAAAAGCCACTAATGTAGACTGAGAGTGTATTGGCAGTTTATAATGTCGATGTATTCTTGTCGCTAAGTTTCGAACTTTTACCGTTAAAGAAAACGCCAGTTGTAATGTCCGTTTGCCCTGTGCTCTGCGTCCGTACCAGTGAGTCTGGAGATATTTTGTGAAGTGTCCAAAACGTCCATGGAGGTCGTGTCATATGGTCCTTTGACAATCTGGAGATATACCAGATCGTCATTAACCTCCCTTTGCCCTGGAGTTTATTATTTAATGGCTCTTTATGACATCCCTCCAGTTCCTTTAATGTGGCAAGGCAGCTGGGTGAGAGAGGTGGGGTGTGCCTCACCCTTTCATGCCCCATGCTCACCCCAATCGATTATATAAAAAATATATATTGGCAGAATTATTCTTAATATTAATTTTTGGTTAAAGGCCTATATTTACAACCCATAAGAGTGAATGGAAAACATGGTAACAGGAGGTCACACTTCAAGAGACGGCGCCCCTCTTTGTGAGAGACAAGAAAATGTAACACCTCCAACCATGAGGGAAGAGGGGGGGACGCAACCGGACAAATATAACCCCCCCCCCCCTTCCCAGATTATTTTTTGTAGAAAGTTGAAAAACTAGAAAACACACTTAGGGGCAATTGAAAGGTATGTTTCCACAGATGGCTTGAGGAAGGAGACAGGAACTTGGCCTTGATGTGACTTAACAGATTACTTCAATAAATTACAACAGACACACGTACACCGGACAAACAGTTGCTCCCACAGGTTGAGAGCGAAATCAAAGAAATTCCGGTCCTTTGTGAGAAGGCGAGCCGAGGTGGAAGAATTTCAGAGATAATCAAGAATACAGCACACGTAATTGAGTCTTGTTGCGGCAAGCTCCAGGAGTGGGCCCCGCAATCGACCGTGGATGGCGAGGCTTGCAGAGTAGCGATGTGTCACCGAGTGTGAGTTCGGCACTGAAAGACAAAGTATCGCTAAAAGTTGTATTCTACATTGAGTGCCAGCTCCCACCAGCAGCTGCAGCAAGAGAGAAAGAGTGCGAAAGAGTGACGAGCAATGAGAAGCAATCAATCTGGAGAAAGGACGGAAAGCGCCAAGCATCGACCAAGCAAGCATCGCGTAGGACCAGCAGCAGTAGCGGCTAATGACTACCCACGAGCGTGGGGATTCGGAAGCCGAGCACACTCCTGCAAAGGTTAAGTCTACAAGGACCAACCGCGCCTGGTGCAAGGGAGAGAGTGTGACCGGTGCAACCTAGAAAGAGTGTCGGCGCTAGCGACTAGCGGACGAGCTGCAATCGCAATCGGGCACCGTCAGGGATGAGCGTCGTGCAGACTTGGCTCATAAAGCAGCAGAGAGGCCTGCAGCTGCCGCCAATAGAGAGAGCATTGTGTGTATGACACGCCAACACACACACGACTCATCGCCCAGCAGCCAACCAAGGCATTTTCAGTACAAGGAACGCCCCACCTCGGCGTCTGCTTAACGCAAAGAGTTGAGCAAGGAGACAATACACCCAGAACACACATAATGCACATATCGGGACTCATAAGATTACTCCAAAGTTCTTGTGTTTCGGTCAGGGCCATCCTAAGATGGTGCGTTAACTATTAGCTGATCGTAAAAAGCATTGCTGCCCATTGAGTTACGTGGATACGGTCATTTAGAAGTGTTTCAGTAATATTTTTTTGTAATTGTATAACTGTACCAATGAATTCATTGATGAAACTAAACATTTATAAACATTTATCTTACGAATCTAGACTCACAGGGATACTATTGTGTTAAAATATTTATTTTGATCACAGAAGCCTTTAATTGATAAGCATTTGTTAAACAAGCAGGCACAGCTGCCGCACACCATTGTTCCAAGACATTTCGTTAATTGCATAATCTTACCAATGAATTCATTGAGGTCTACTTTTGCCTTAGGCACATGTTTCTTTATTGCTGTTCGTATGAATATTGTCACATTAACTTTTAAGGACGTTTTCCCATCGCTGTGTATGCTCGCTTTACTCTGAGGAATTAGCCGATTGTTCTGTTGCCCAGTTTAACAAACGTAATCATTGAAGGTTAAATGTATGGATCAATGAGGACATCTCCTGGAGTTCGCATATTAGAGTTTTTTTTATATTAAAGTTGCTTTATACAGAAGAGTCTCAGTGGTGCCTTCCTAAGAACTGTATCCTGCGGAGAGATCTGAATTTTGAGACCTGACATAAACACACTAAGACATAATCAGTAAAAGTGAAAGTGAGAATCATTGTACATCATGAGACCTCCTTTGCCGGTAGCAAAATATAATAATAGCTTTTTTACCCTTTTTTCTGGCAACAAAATTGACACCTTTTTACAAGGAATCATGTTTACATTAACCACAATTCCTGCAGTCAAAATGTAAACAAAAAACGCACTCTGATAATGTATGCACTGTCCTTGAAATTGATTGGTCCACACCTTATAAAAGTCAGTTTTGTTGCCAGAAAAAGGGTAAAAAACCTATTATTTTGATACTGGCAAAGGAGGTCTCATGATGTAAATGCTTACCCCGTGTCCTCAATACATGATTCCTCGTAAAAAGGTGTCAGTTTTATTGCCAGAAAAAAGGGTAAAAAATCTATTATGAGAATCATTGTATTATCCCGATTGATAATACAACCCTAGACAACGAAGCCTAATGATCATAATTGCATAAATTATAAGAACTACATACGCTCGCATAACCTAAAGCAATTACACCTTCATAATTAGTATAAATTCATTATTTGCATAATGACATACATTAGCATTTTTAAAATACATTTTCAAGACCGAATAAAGAAGCGCTGCAAATAAACGGTTACAATGATGTACACATCAACAGGGCATTGAATACCAAAACCAAATCATATAACAAGAGAATTGAAACTGCGCAAGTAATTAAACGATCAAAATACCGTACATTGTGGGAGTAACTGATAATCTCGCCAGATGTTTGGTAAAACAAAACATCCGAGTCAGATTTGACATGGTGCATAAAATACAGAATTTAATATCTGGTACAAAACATGTATTATCGAAGCTATCAACAGAATGTGTGTACAGGAGTAACTGCACGTGTGGTAAATGTGATGCTGGGCAAACAGGACGAATGATCAGCACGAGACTAAAAGAGAAATATTAAATTCTCCCAAATACAACTATCAGCAGTAGCAGAACACGCGTGCCAACAAGGACACTCAATTGATTTTGATAATGTTGAAGTTTTGTGCAAAACAAGCTACGATTGGCCAAGACTAATTAGAGAATCTATAGAAATTGAAAGAAATCAAAATATCTTTAATCGTTCGGATAGCTACCGTTTTAGTGCTGTGTGGAAGCGAATAATCACGTAATATATTATTTAAATGCATGCCTACAAAGAGCAGCATACTTCATTAGGGATTACCGTTGGTCGGGCTATTTTAATAAACACAATAGACAGGAAGGACAAGTTCACAGGGCTCGCATAAAGCATAATATACGCTGCCTCAGTAATTCCCCCCCCACCCCACATCGTGCATGAAATTTTCCACTTTTAATCTAATACATATGTAATGAGGGCATAAACGGCCTTGCGGATATGACGTAACAGGGAGGAGGAGTTGGGTCACGTGGGGAGAAGGGAGAGCTCTTAAGGGCGGGAACCGGAAGAGACGGGAAGAGAGTGTAAGAATAAAGACGGGAGGAGGCCACGCAGGGCAGGAGGTGGAAAGTGGCGTGATCGCCACAGGACAGGACTCGGCACCATTGGCCAGCGGTGTCCGGGCACGGGGGAGACGGAGAGCAGCGGTGGGGCTGCAGAGAGAGCAGCCGAGGGGCTGCAGATCGGGGCGGAGAGGCTGAGAGAAAAGCCAGCAGCGGAGCTGCAGCGGGAGCCAGCAGAAAGGCTACGTGAGCGACGGCAGCAGAAGGGCTGCCGAGCGGGAGGTGGAGAAGGCTCTGAGCGAGGCGCCGTGCGGGGCGAAGTTGTACGAACCCAAATAAAGGACAACGGAGACAGACACAGTGAAAGAGTCCTTTATTACACATATAATAAGGCTAAATACAAGAGGAATTAACTTTCGTCCAGAAATAAAACTGAAAGTTGGGATTATTTAGGCTAAAACGGCACGGTATGCAGATTTACTTTTTTATACTCGAAAATGTAATGCATGAAATTCCCTACTTTTTAACGTAATATATAGGCTACTCAGGCTAAACACAACCCAGAAATTTACTTTTTGTTTAAAAATACAGCTGTAAAAAGTTGTAAATTTTTTGCAAAAAACGATTTTCTGTTTGGGGCGTAAACATTTCTTTCGTGGAATTTTTCACTTTTAATCTAATACATAGCATACTAAAGCTAAATACAATGGAGGAATGAACTTTTGTCGAAAAATAAAGCTGTGAAAATGTAGCAAATTTTGGCCCAAAACGGCATAGGTTCATATACCGATCTTCTGTTTGGGATGTGAACATTTAATCGTAAAATGTTCTACTTTTAATCTAAGACATAGCATACTAAGGGTAAATACAATGGAGGAATTAACTTTTTTTTTTATAAACCTGTAAAAATTCGGCTTATTTTAGCCAAAACCGGCATAGGTAATCGGGCCGATTTTCTTTTCTATATTTAAAAATTTCACCGTGAAATTTCCCACTTTTTTACGTAATATATAGGATACTAAGGCTAAACACAACCTAATTATGCTCTTTTTGATGAAAAAGTAAAGCTAGGAAAATTGGGCTAATTTTTCCAAAAAACGGCATAGGTTAGTCTGCCGATAAGCTTTTTTTACTTGAAATTTTCATGGTGAAATCTCCCACTTTTAATGTAATATATAGCATACTAATGCTAAACCAAAGGGAGGAATTCACTTTTTCTTGGAAAATGTAGCTTTTAAAATTTGCCCTCCATTGTTGTTGGAGGGAGACTGCCTCCAACTGCCCAGTAGCGTCTTTCGCAAGCCTCCTTCTCAGAGGCCAATCTTGACACCACTGGTACCA